TCCTTTTTTAACATTATTTAATATATTTTTATCTACGTTTTGTTTCGTTAACATGCCATACCAATATAGTTTATGAAATGCAGACAGATATCACGGCAAAAAGCTGAGAAACCAGATGAATTTTATATCACAAAAAACGATGAACAAACACCACAGTTAGACACAAGTATCACGCAAAAAACTGAAAAGCTTGAAAATAAATCACGGGAAACGAGCGAAAGCATAAACGATTATGTACCAGCGTGTCACGATGTAGATCATTTATTAAATGTTACAAAATCGGCGAACAAGATGACTGATTATTCTATTGGTGAACAATCCATTTTAGAAGCGAAACACTGTCCAAGTAATTGTACAAAATTGTTATATCGTGAAACGATTGCGTATGATTCAATTAGCTTTTAAAATCAATTTTAATTGTAAATTGTCATTTCAGCCTTGCAGTATGCGACTAACGAGCAATACGACGTTGGAAATGGATTTCCTCAAGAACAAAATCAAGTATACAAGGTTTCAATTTGCGATTGCGCGTTATGATTAGCATTGCATATTAAAAGCAGGCTTTTATCGTATATTTATGTCTCTTAGGAAACTAATAGGCCACTGTTTTTAATGGTTAATGAGAAAAGGATACACGCGCTACCTATCAATCCTGTTAACATAGAAACTGCGTCCTCGTCCGCGCAGCCACTGCAGTGTTACAGCGTTCAAATTCCTATAGTCGCATATCGCGATACACCTTTACAAATATCGAGTATGCTTACGCAAATGGGAAAGGATGTTAACATGCCGTCCGTGTGTCAAAATGACAGTGTGAAAGATCGGGAAACTGTCGGGAATGTCTGTACAGAATCGCTGAAGAGTATCAATTCGGTGCATAGCTTCAGGGAGTCTAAGAATGAAAAATATCCACTTGATAGTAATACATCATTATCTCAATAAAGTATGAGTAACATTCCAATATGAGTCTCTTCACGATTGATACGTCAATAATATATTTATAAGGCGATAAGATCGCAAACAATTGGAACGTACTCAGCAACAAAGTTACGTTTCGCAAACGTTTCGAATCTAAATTCTAAAATCTTTGAATCCTCCTTAGTGCGGATTATAAAATATATTGCGTTTACGTATCAACAATAGCGGGAGCTCATATAGGCATTTTACAATACTTGTATTTGATTTATTTTTAGAGCCACAAAATTATTTTTGTGATTTAATATTATCAATAATTTGACAAGACAAGAACGATCGAAATTTGTGCTGTTTTTAGATAATGCTGTTTTTAATATTGAGCGTCATAACGCAAAAAGCAACGATGATATCTCGAAGAACAAAAGTATTTCCAACAATTGTGAAGGATACCACACTTTCGAGCGCGAAATAGACGCGAAGGAAAGCGTCGCATCGTTGAATCAAGATATTACAAAGAATATCACGCTCGATAATGATCGTTGTGGAAACTTTGATGAGTTAGAATTAAATAATGCGGTTGACGTCAACAATGATAAAAGTTTAAGTTACTCAAATTTAAATGTCGCTGCAAGATTGAAAAATTTCGTCGATCAAAGCTACGTGATGGATTCTTGTATCGCGAATGGAGAAAAGAACGAGAGAGAAATGTCGAAATCGAGCGAAAGAAAGATGGCGAAAGCGCGGACGTGTTCGTGTATCGACACGGGGATGCAAAAGCTGGCGTATCACGTAAAGGATGATCGAGGCAATGCAGTTAAATCTTGGACAAATGTAATAAATGACAAAGTACTGGATAAAAATTTAGTCTTTAGTCAAGTTGACGAGAAGGAGGAATATAGCAAAAATAATAAGAAACAAGAAAGTAAGGAGGAAAAGCACGGAGAGGGAGAGCTGCGCATTAACGTGAAACGTAAAACGCCACTGATGAATCTGTCAAAAAAGGCAAAGTCATTCTTACGGAAGAAATCCCGTTTCGCGATTACAGATTCCGACTATACTCTGATACTGCCTGGTTATCGTGGCATTAAAGGTAAACGATATAAAAAGAGCCGCGGTCGCTCCAAAATAAGTCACTCGTTACACGGAAGAAACGGAATAAATAGTACGAATTCTATATTAGTAAAGTACAATGCGTCGAAACAAGACCGAATAAATTCTCGTTCGTTGATGAATCTACAAACGAGAAACTCATTTGAAAAGCCATCATCCATTCCCCTGGAGACTCAAGAGCTGTTGAACAAAAGTTATTGGGAATATTACTGGAAACTCCGGCGTAAAATCAAGCCAGATAACGCAAAAGAAAAAGACAAATGTTTAAACGAGCATCTACCTGAATCTCAGACATTACGACAATGTTCTGTCCTCTCCTGCATGATCAATACAGCGCTTCGAAATTCAACTCGGACGACTGGTGATGAAAGAGCGTCTTCAAATCCGAACATGACGTTTGTTGCACAAGAAAGCGTTTCTGCTTTACCCTCCATGTTGGTGAAGAAGATTCAACGAAAAAGAATGAAGCGAACTAGCAAACGATTGCTCGGACTTCGAGCCATAGGTACAATAGATATGTTTCTTTCTCGCTCGCTCGCTCAACAAAGCTATACTTTTTTCGATTGATATTTCATTCTTAAGCCCATCTCTATCAATGTAGATAAACATTTAATCTCTAACTTATCTTCTTCCAATTGTAAGAATTAGAAAAAGATAGAGAGTACAATAAATTAAAAGAGATTAAACTGCATTGATAGAAAGGGAATATTAATTGTAAACAATTTGATCTTTATTCTTCAATTTAACGTTTATAATTTTATTAGCATTACTGTGTATCGCGATGTATGTCGCAGTGATACTTTTGCCTATGATGTACGACTATATCTTCGACGAGGAATACGACGATGAGAACACGAATTATATCGAACTAATATTCCAATACATCACGTCGTCGTTTGGAGAAGCTCTCGATGGAATTATCGACGTCTTGACTACGATTTTTTTACGGCCAGTAAGATTTGATCGAAAGCGGTAATCTTTGCAACTCTTTCAAATTCATGGTAGATGGTTTCGTTGCAATGGTCATATCTGTACAAATCCATATTAAGCGTTCTATAATCTGTGTCATTTTCAGCAAATGTGATAAATGTTAAGTTATTCGAATCCACGTGTCTCTAACGTGTTTTGTCACTCATCCTTGGCTGATCGTTTATACACATTTTATTACATAGCGTACGACATCCGACGTATGACGTCCGATATCCAATAAGAGAATTTGTTTCCTGAAGACAAAAATGTCTTCTAACTAGACTCTTCGCTAACTAGAACCTAATTCTCTTGTTGGATGTCGTATCGTCGGATATCGTATACTGTGTGAATCTTACATTATTGTTTACAACGTTTTCGTAAGGTGTGTGTATCTATATCTTTATGCAGAACGATATTTCTTACAAATATATATTGTATACATACACGAATTTATATATAATATACATATAATTGTGTATATCGATATTGCATCCATAGGTTTGATTATACATAACGCGAAATGAAAACAGAAACAACCCTATTGAAAAAAATCATGTCACAATATTGATGGAATCATGTATTATAATTAAAACATGTAAAACGCGTAACGGATTATTCCAAATCAATGTTTTTTTTTAATAATATAATTTGAAAAATCACATGATATTATAAATATAACTTCATCCATCATGTGATTTTATATATGTGTATAGTTATCGAATTTTAAAGAATTGATTGATAGAGAGAGAAATAGAAGAAAAAAAGAACATTATCATGTGACTTTTCAAAATATGTATAATTTTAAAATCACGTACCGATTTGGAACAATCCGTTACGTGATTTATTACGTGTTTAAAATTCATGATTTCATCGTGTAATTATGTGACGTGATTTTTTTTTCAGTAGAGAAGACAATTTCGACATGTTACAATAAAAGTATTTGTACATTTATATAAAATTAATTATAATTCGAAACGACTAAAAAAAGAGATTATTGTTCCTCTGGTCTTTATTAGTTTTCATTTCTCAACTCTTCATGATTGCTTCGTGACTGAGAAAAGTGAGGCCATTGGCTGCGTTCAGCAGAAAAAGCAACTTTGCAGCTGTTGTGAAATTCTTGAGTACTTATGTGGCATTTTTTCGTTATGCAATCAAAAGCAACCACGTCTAAGGCTATCTTCGTCTTTTGATTCCTTAGACGAAGATAGCCTTAGTCGTAGTAATTTAGTGGTTGGATAACGATAAAACACCCATGATTAGTTTATACATTTAGATCCAGTGAACAACTAAGGGCAAGACGAATCATATTAAAGAATTGTACAACAATTGCAATACTGCTGTATGAGCGTCGTCATATTGAAAATAAGACACCTCCGAATTTGAAGGACAAAACTACATATACAGGGTGTCCCGTAAGCTTTTGCCAAGTGCTTGTGTGCAGATAGAGCGGATTAAACTGAATTAAAAAGTCATCTACCATTTTGCAATTTTCTCAATAATTAACTACTATTAGATATTAATGACTAAAAATCGCTGGATATTGGTCTTCAATAATTTTTTACTCAAATACTATCAACTTCATAGAAAAACTGCAAAAGACAAAAATCATTTATTTTCTTCTCATGGAACTCTAAGAATTTTTTCAGATATTTTATCAACTTTTTAATACTGGAGTTTCTTATGTTTATCAACATGAGAAAATACGTATAAAAAAATTCTGAAAAAATTCTCAGAACTTTATGAGAAGAAAATAAACAATTTTTATGAGAGAAAATAAACTCTTTATGAGAATTTTTTCAGAATTTTTTTATACGTATTTTCTCATGTTGATAAACATAAGAAACTCCAGTATTAAAAAGTTGATAAAATATCTGAAAAAATTCTTAGAGTTCCATGAGAAGAAAATAAATGATTTTTGTCTTTTGCAGTTTTTCTATGAAGTTGATAGTATTTGAGTAAAAAATTATTGAAGACCAATATCCAGCGATTTTTAGTCATTAATATCTAATAGTAGTTAATTATTGAGAAAATTGCAAAATGGTAGATGACTTTTTAATTCAGTTTAATCCGCTCTATCTGCACACAAGCACTTGGCAAAAGCTTACGGGACACCCTGTATATGTAGTTTTGTCCTTCAAATTCGGAGGTGTCTTATTTTCAATATGACGACGCTCATACAGCAGTATTGCAATTGTTGTACAATTCTTTAATATGATTCGTCTTGCCCTTAGTTGTTCACTGGATCTAAATGTATAAACTAATCATGGGTGTTTTATCGTTATCCAACCACTAAATTACTACGACTAAGGCTATCTTCGTCTAAGGAATCAAAAGACGAAGATAGCCTTAGACGTGGTTGCTTTTGATTGCATAACGAAAAAATGCCACATAAGTACTCAAGAATTTCACAACAGCTGCAAAGTTGCTTTTTCTGCTGAACGCAGCCAATGGCCTCACTTTTCTCAGTCACGAAGCAATCATGAAGAGTTGAGAAATGAAAACTAATAAAGACCAGAGGAACAATAATCTCTTTTTTTAGTCGTTTCGAATTATAATTAATTTTATATAAATGTACAAATACTTTTATTGTAACATGTCGAAATTGTCTTCTCTACTGAAAAAAAAATCACGTCACATAATTACACGATGAAATCATGAATTTTAAACACGTAATAAATCACGTAACGGATTGTTCCAAATCGGTACGTGATTTTAAAATTATACATATTTTGAAAAGTCACATGATAATGTTCTTTTTTTCTTCTATTTCTCTCTCTATCAATCAATTCTTTAAAATTCGATAACTATACACATATATAAAATCACATGATGGATGAAGTTATATTTATAATATCATGTGATTTTTCAAATTATATTATTAAAAAAAAAACATTGATTTGGAATAATCCGTTACGCGTTTTACATGTTTTAATTACATGATTCCATCAATATTGTGACATGATTTTTTTCAATAGGGTTGTTTCTGTTTTCATTTCGCGTTATGTATAATCAAACCTATGGATGCAATATCGATATACACAATTATATGTATATTATATATAAATTCGTGTATGTATACAATATATATTTGTAAGAAATATCGTTCTGCATAAAGATATAGATACACACACCTTACGAAAACGTTGTAAACAATAATGTAAGATTCACACAGTATACGATATCCGACGATACGACATCCAACAAGAGAATTAGGTTCTAGTTAGCGACATTTTTGTCTTCAGGAAACAAATTCTCTTATTGGATATCGGACGTCATACGTCGGATGTCGTACGC